GGTGTGGTCACCTCAGGGAAGCCCAGGGTATCCCATCACCAAAGGAAAACCAAGTCAGTGTCTGCTGAGTCATTCTCCCCCTTATGAAGAGAATATTCTTCTCAGAGAAGCATTATTTCTTGTCACCCCTCTGATCTAATTGCACACAATAAGAAGGAACCATTCTGAAAGGAACAACTTGAATATCAGGGTCTCAATTCTGTGACCCATCAGAAAAGAGCCCAGGCAGCTGAAGGACAGACAGACTTATTCCAGCCACTGAATCAGCAGAATGACAATTTTAGTTGGTGTGTAGAGGGAAACTACAGCAGAAACAACCCAGAGTGGTGGATCTCTGCAATCCAACACTTCAGCTGCTGGAACAGTTTGGGAGGTCCCCTTCTGCAGACTTGACCCTTTTTTAACTTGAATCCTTTTATCAGGAACCAGTTCTTCTGCCCTTAATTACCTACTGCCATTCCCAGGGAGCCCATGGAAAAACACCTTTCTTTAGACAGAAAGAAGGCAGGGAAAGTCCTGGAGGAAAACTCCAGGACTTGACCAACTGCCATTTGTTACCACCACATGCAAATTAGTGTCCTTGAGCTTGCCTTTCCACACCAAAAAAGATCTGAAAAGGCTCCAGAGGTTGCTGAGGGTGGGATTTTCCAAATCTAATCCAATTTAATTTATACTATGTTACTTTATCAATGAAGAAACACACTGGGAAAATACTCCTTGGAGGTGGTTGTCTTGTTATCGGTTGCATGACACCCAGTGCCTGCACGAAACCCAAAGGGTCAGGCCAACACACTTTAATCTGCAGGTCATCCAACATGTGACGTGGGAAACTCTGAGGCTGTTTTCCAGGCTCCCATTCAGCCAAGCCTGGGTGACCTACTGGGAAGTCACCTTCATGTCACCTGAACAGGAATAAAGGAACATCTCGGAGCAGGGCCACTGGCCGTGTGCCCGCTGTGCCTTTGCCATTTGCACTAGTCCTGAGGGGGCAAAAGGGGAGAAACCACCTGTCTCCTCACACAGGGTAAGAGCTGCTGAGTCTCTGCCTAGGGAGAAGATGACAATGAGGAAAGAGTATTTTGAGGCATTTGGGTAATTTGACTCGATGGGACTTCACGGAAACCTAAGGAAAAACCTGAACCCTCAGCAACAGAGAGGCCTGTGATTTTGGGAAACATCTGAGCAAAAAGAGGGGGGGATAAGTCTGAAGGGAAATGCAATCTGCCCTGTCTCTGAGCTCCCTCCCAGAGAGCCTGAGCTCCAAGAAATAAGGAAACCCCTTCTGTGTCCCTGAAGTGACACCACCTCAACTGGTGTGGGCAAGACACGACTCAGACCACAAAGGCCCCTCTATCCCAACAGACACTGTGCCTACAGGGAGTGAGCCCAGTTCTCATGTCCTCCAAAATTCCCAGGGCTGGGAGCCGAAGCCCCACTCAGTCCTGCCTTGACGTGGTCCCACCAAGGAGACCAAACCCTTGTAAAGCACAACCCTTTTGCTGGCAGTGCCACCGGCCGTGGGAGGACTCAAGGACAGCACAAGGTCAAACCCTTCAGCCACCGGTCACTGCCCAGTCCCCAGCGGGGACACAAACCTGTGCTGGGAACGAACTTCCAAACAATGACAGAAATCTAATCTGGCTCTTCAGCTGCTCTTGCAACACCAGCACATGGCACGACCCAGCACCAGTGATGTCTCCAGCTGGAGAGTTCAGGCCCATTGTCCTGGTATCAGTTGAGGTGATGCTGATCTTTGCCAAGTCTCGCAATGTTTGCCCATCCGTGTTGATCCAAGATTGGCAGCAGAGGGGAGAAGGGTATAAAAGCA